CAAATAAGAATGACAGCTGAAAAAGTAATCTTTGACAGGACATAAGTTGAAAAAGCTTCCATAAATTTGAGGGTGTCAATTTTAAAGCAAATCTCAGGAAAGCTAGCTGAAAAAAATATTCTACATTCATACTAATCAGAAGTAAAATGTGGTACATAGTACGGAACAATACTGATTTTGGTTGAGCAACCACAAAGAAAAATTAATCAAAAGAATTTTAAGAAAGAGAGATTGGCAAGAGGCACAATACAGAAGTCATTTCAAGTTCCTCAGAAATTTGACGCAATGCCCCCGTAAGTCTTGTCACGGAATTGATCGGAGTGCCAAGTCCACAAAGGCTTTCCAAAAAGTTAAAAAAGTTTTTGAGGTATACATGGTATTCCAAGTCAAATACATAATGGCTAAAAACAAGAATTGTAAGGGCTTTGAGAAATTTTCCTCCCATGGTGGTTGCAGAACTGCCAAGAGGCACAGATTTTTTATCTATTTTAAGATATAACTGGCCATTGATTTTGTCATTTGCCGTCAATAGCCGAGCAAGGTACAGACGTCCCTACCCGCATGGAAAGGCGAGGCTAAACCGCGTCTGAAAACTGTCCGAGCTTCCTAGACATTGCTTGCACGCCTGAGTAGACGCGATTCAGCCAATTTTCAGACGACTTTTCTGTCTTAAACTTACCCGACTTTTGAACTAGCCGGCGCTGCATACTGCAGCGCCCATGCACTGTGGCCGAGCTTCGTGAAGACATATGGCTTGGCTGAGCACACAGCCACCTCCAGGCTGTGAGCGAGCTGAGGGACAGCTTACCACTGTCAGAAAGCCTCATGGGAAGGAAAATGAAACTGGCAGCGACCGCAACTGGCCGGCCGGTGAGTGGGATCGAACCAACAGACTCCGAGTCACTAGTCGTTCGGCTAGCACGCTTGGCCAGAGCGCGCTCGCTCCCGGAGAAGCGAACAGCGAACACGTTCCTCCTTAGCGCGTCGCGGGAGTATATCAACTTTGTGCTTTTGAAGCTTTCTGACAGAGGAAAGCTGTCCCTCAGCTCGATCACAGCCTGGAGGTGGCTGTGTGCTCAGCCAAGCCATATGTCTTCACGAAGCTCGGCCACAGCGCATGGGCGCTGCAGTCTGCAGGGCCGGCTAGTTCAAAAGTCGGGTAAGTTTCAGACAGAAAAGTCGTGTGAAAATTGGCTGAATCGCGTCTACTCAGGCGTGCAAGCAATGTCTAGGAAGCTCGGACAGTTTTCAGACGCGGTCAAGCCTCGCCTTTCCATGCGGGCAGTCTTTCTTGG